CGTAAGCCAAGTACATATTTGCAGATAAGAAAGACATACCTGTTCATGTTGCGCTTGACTTTCATAAGCTGCTACAATTGCCTGATAGTGATGATGTCTCCACATAAAGATGTCACTCCAGTGAGATAAATTGTCCGACGGCATGGGGAGGCGATTACTAAAAGTTTAAAGAATTTTAACGTTGTTGAATGTAGGCAAAGGTTAATCAGTCTTTTTAATTTCACTCGCTGCTTCATTCAATAATAACTGAAAATACAAGTAGTGTTAGAATTGCTCGAGACGTAGCTAAGAGCTTGGTGCTTTCCAAACTTCCCATCCTCACATCTCGATTAACAAAGAGCTTACAAACGTACAAATTTTTTAAAAAACAATCTCGACGCCGTTGTGCTATGTTGTATCAAGAGCAGTTTCCGCTGCTTTATTTCAATGCGTACACACCCGTCGTAAGCTCGAACAATGGGAATGTGACGGAAGCTTGACGAATGACAATTTTGATTTAATAAACGAATTTACTCGCTGTGCTATAAAAACAGTTGTGGATAAATATATTGGAAGGAGAAGCTTCTCACCGCCATGTTTTCACAATAGCCTTCATATCATGTAGACTAGTCGATCGTCCAACATTCGGCGGTTGTAGACCCGTGTGAATCTGAGCAGCTTCTTGAAGCTCCATAATTTGTTGCGCCGCCTGGAATTAACAGCAACAGTAATCAACAAAACGTCCAAAGAAAAATTCAGTAGAATCGATAACGACCCCCTTGGAGCAAAGGAGCATGCATGTGAACTATTTTTGGAGAGGGCGAAAAGTTTTGAAAAGATAGAATTTGTCACAGAAAAAAAAACATGGCAAAGCTTACAAAAGAGAGATTAAATAGGAACCAGGCGATTGGCTGGTAAGTAAATAAAAAAAAAGAACAGAAAAATAAGGATAAATGTAAGAAAAACAGTTTTTTCGTTTTAAAGATCGCCGTCGACATAAGCGCGTTTCGTCCAGCTCTTCACATCCGCGACATATTTTTTTGCGCCTATGAAAGTGTGGGCGTTTGTTTACCCTTTACACCCTAAGATCACTATGCATATTTTCAATACTGTTCTCTATAACATTTAGATGCTAGTCACTCTTACATGTAGGGGTCAAAGGCTTAAAACATGAAAACGAAACAATCAGAGAAGCTCACCTGTAGGAGTGGAATGTGTTGCTGTGAAATAATCGGAGGTAAGCGTCTCCACTGGCGAATTGCTTGAGTTGTGGAATGCTCTACAAGTTTGTCGACCTATGTCGCGGAGGATTAAAACAGCATTTGGTTAGAAGAGACAGTCATAACATGCAGATATAACAGACGCTTCGATTGGTTGGAAAAGAGCGATTACGGTAGTGTTAATATGAACGAGGAGAGACTGAGTCGAGACCCAATCTCCACTCGTTCCTCTTCCGTCATGCTCATAACTTTCGCTTCATATCATGAGTGGAACAAACCGCTGGCAGCGTGTAAAAAAATAGAATATTAAACGCAATTGTGACACAAACCATGTTAAGGTGTTGTTCATCCGGATGGCAAATAGCTATGTAACCTCGATATAAGTTCAACTTGTACGCGATTGATTCCGGGAAGTTGACTTCAACCTGAAAAGCCATAGGAAGACACGTGGAAATCAAATACTGATAAAATAGTGGAAATATTCTTTTGGAGCTTATAGTTGTTCAAAAATTACCTGTGCAAGAGCTTCTTTCATTGATTGCCACTCAGGGACTCTCCATGCACTCTCTAGAACTAAAATAACAAGAAATATCAGAGAAACGATTAGAGAAAGTAACACACATTATCATAAAAAGAAAATCAACAAAAGATGTAGGAAATTTTTTACGATCGTACCCAGGAAAGGATTAGTGTGGCCCTTAGTCTTTCCGAACTCCATCAGCAAATCCCATTGACCGAGCTCTTTAGAACAACTGAAAAAGATGACACAAAATACAACAACAAATAAGTACATTTACCAGTGTCTGTACGCTAATTTCGATTAAGATGTGAGAATAGGGTCCGAGGGGCAACGCTTAGGACACGTCAATTGAAAAAAACTAATTTATATTTTTCTTAAAATTGTGCAAATGGCTGGATTCATTAACCGCCTCTCACAGCACCAGACTTCAAAATAATTTATGAGGGCAGTGCTGGGTTTCAAAAGAGATATGTGAACAATTCGCCGTCGTGGTTTGCGAAAAGTCACTACTCTGTTTCAACATTATTCAGGACAACCTCCATAGGTAATCAAAAGGCGAGTTCTCATTACCTTCCTTATTTTTAACTGCATTGACTTACACGGAAAATTTATGGGCGGATCACAGTTAGAATAACACCCCTAACCAAAACCTTTCTCCGCTTATTACATGAGGTAACGCATGGTACTTCCACATCGAAAGCTCAGAGGCTCCATACTGAAGAGATTGTTTAAGACACTTGCCTGACCCAGTGCTCCTCCCACAGATTGTACTCTGATGTTAGTTGCGGATTAGCTGGGCCGCGGTTATGTTCCTCACGGGCCTTGCTCATCACCTGAAGAGAAGTGGGAAATTTATCGCATGAATTAAGTTAAGAATAAGATTCCAAGAATAAAAAGATAGCACTGAAGAGTGGAAGACATAAACCTTTTACGCTCTTGCATCAGTATGCATATTCTCCATAGTGTTTTCTAATAATTTTTGTACAGTGCTGCCAAGAGAGTTTCTCTTTTTTTGTGTGTAAATGATGTACTTCTAAATATGTGTGCATTATCACATTGTACGTAGTATAAGTAGAACAATGTACGTAGCATAAATATTAATTGTATCTTAAGAGTACTGTAAGTAGTGTAACGCAATGTGCGTAGAGAGTCCCGTGAAAGGAACCTTAATGTAGTTAATGTAAGTATCATTTTATGTAAAAAAAAAAAAAAAACCAAAAAAAAACCGGAGAACAAATAGTGCATGAGATACCAACGTAACAGTCGAACAAACCAGAAAACAAACACTGCGCAAGATACCAACGTAACAGTTAAAAAACCAAAAAAAAAATAATAGTGCACCAGATGCCAACGTAATACACGTACAAACCAGGATACAAATAGTGCGCGAGGTGCCAACGTAACAGTCAAACAAACCAGAAAACAAATAGCGCGCGAGATACCAATGTAACAGTCAAACAAACCCGAGAACAAATAGTGCGCGAGATACCAACGTAACAATTAAACAAACCAGAAAACAAATGGTGCACGAGATGCCAACGTAACAGTGAAAGAAACCAGAGAACAAACAAGTGCACAACATGACAACGTAATAGTTAAAAAACTAGAAAACAAATAATGCACAACATGCCAACGTAATAGTTAAGC